TTAAACAAATATCTGGGCCTTCTGCTCATTTTTGCTAAAGTTAGAACCATGCTACCTCAGAGTCCATTTTTACAGAGCACAAAGAAACAGCAGCAGCTCACAGCAGAATTACCAGCTAACTTAGGAACATGGACAGCATGCAGACTCTACACAGAAAGGTTGCAAGGTTGGTTCAAACTTGGGACCCTCTTGCTCTGAGGTAATAGTGCTAACCGGTGCACTATTGTAGTTCCAGATCAGAGCAGAGCATTCATGTGTTTTTTACTACTGTAAGTCTCTATTATAGTAGCAGGGACTAGAAAAGAGTTCATATTTCTTCTCTACTGGCTTCTTTTTTCTTTTCATTCAACGCCTGTTAAATCCAGAACTGAATTTGAAAGTCTTCCTCTCACGTACAAAGTCCGGAATGATCCCCCCCAACGTCACACCTTAAAGACCTTTTAGTATCCTATTATTCCAACAAAGCACTTCGCTGTCAGACTGAAGGCTTACTTGTGTTTCCTAGAGTTTACAAAAGTAGAATAGGAGGCAGAGTCTTCAGATATCAGGCCATCACCCCATAGATCCAGATTTAGGAGATTGACACACTAAATTTAAAATTAGGCTTAAACACCCTCCCCTTTTTTTTGATAGAGCTCATAGTTAGAGCTGGATCAGGTAACCGTGAACCATTCCCTAGTTATGCAGCTATGGGTTTGGGTTGCTGGAGAACTTCCCATGATGCACTTAGCATTTATTCTCCACACAATCCAATGCATTTATATGTCACTAATATGTGCGAGCTTTGTCACCTCTCTCCTATAATTTGTGTTTTGTCTTTCACCTCTCTGTGCTTTCGCCTTTTCTCTTCTCATCCCTAAAATAGTCAAACTGAGCTTGATCTCTCATAACCCAGTGCACTTTAACAACCTTAAGAAAATAATTACTGTCAAATTTCAAGAATGCATCCTAATGCTGTATGCTGTGTTTGTGGACCATGTTCCTGTTGTGTGTCTCAAATAATATATTTCTCCTCTACAGTAATGTAGTTGAAGGAAATCGCAAGTGAACAATAAATAATAAATGTGCATGTCCTGGCTTTATAATAGACCTTAAGTTTCTTCTCCTGGCTTCCAAATTACCTACTGGATAACTGCCTCAATGCGTGTCAGGTGATGCTCCCCTTCCTGTTACACTAGGCTCTAATAAGACCTATGGAGAGGCAGATTTGGTGTGTTTGGCCCTTATCGAGCAGCTTGCCAGAGGACCTGGGGGCATCAGAATCTGTGAGTGCTTTCAAATAAAATCATGAGAAAAAGCATTTCAGCCCAAGATTTATATATTCAGTCAAACCAGAACAAATTCGCCGTGCAATTTTACCTGAATGCTAATGCACAAAAGATTAATTTACTTTGATTTAATGTTTTACCATTGACAATTGTGTAGGAAAAACGGGATATGAAAGGAAAGGTTTCAGGCATTTAGGGGTCGGTTCCGCTGCTCACCTTTGTCTGAATAGCGCAGGGCACATACACACCAGGAAACTAAAGCAGCTAAATCAATTAAAATCCCATTAAAGTCAGCACCATTATTGAGGTCATTACCAAGGGGGAGAGATGCCTGATGATGATGGTGGATCAAACAAGATCTAATTAATTCATTTATTCATTAACACGCTGCTCTCACGCAAGCATGGTTAGCGCAATGTAATGAAAATGGAGAGAGGGAGAGCCAGACATCAAGTGCAGCATCTCAGCACAAACATCAAAACTTGACACGAGAAGGAAAATATGAATATGAAATATGAAACACAACATCAAAGACGAGTTATTGCCAGTATAGGCCATTGGCTGCTTTTCAAAGGACACTGAAACACATGAACATTTTCTGGCACCGCAGTGAATGCCTCCTTTCAGCTCTGTTATGCACACACACACACTAGGTGTCAGTCTGGTTGCAGCAAGAGATAGAGAGAGGAAAGACAAAGAGGAAACTGCAAGACCAGGGAAAGGAGGAAACTACACAGCCTGTTTCTCTGCTTCATCTCACACCAGTGGAGCTGTGATTAGGGAGCAGCAGACAACGATGGGTATTGATCCTTTCTCAGATGGCCCAGGGACCAGAGGCCAAGAAAATGACAGAAACATGCTATGTTGCTTACTCAGCCTGGGGATGTGGGGCTGAGTGGTTGGTGTCTATATATAAATGGGGTTTTTAAACAGATAATAAGGCGATAATGAGGTTAAACCAAAGATTGGAAAGAAAAAAAATAACCGACTTGTGTGTTTTTACATGTTTGGTTTTGCCTATTTCAAACTGAAAGATACTATCTCAGCCTTCTCTTACTACGTCTCCTCTTCTCTCCTTTCACACTCCGCACTCCCCAGAAATCAATACATGCTGGATTAAATGAAATATGAAATCTTTACACTGGTGGGCAAGATAGGATACCATGAGGTTTTTTTTTTCTTGAAGTTTGCTTTGCCTCAGTCATGTCTTCAACTGGATGATTTTCAATGCCGTGATCTGAAATACTACCATTCCTCAACATCAAGTAGTATTTGATTCACAGTTAAGCTGAGATGTAGAGGTTTGACTAGAGCTCTGTGGAGTACGGATGCCAGGTCAGAGGGTGAGGCAGACAGAAACAGAGCTTAGATGAAGAAGAACAGACGAGCTGATCGGATGTGACAGGAGCAGTGTCCTCCTCCACTGCAGCACAAAGTGCCCCAAATGAAAATCTATATGGCACAATGCTGGCAGCAGACCTTCATGGCCTGGAAGAGACGAGTGGACAGTCGAAACGTTAGCGAAGTTAACGTTACTGCAGCAATACGCGTGTAAACAATCATGGTATTCCTGTGATGACATGATGCTGACAATTAAAACACCCTCTTGAGCCGGATCTATTGTCATCACTGATTTGCCTTTCTCTTCACACAGCGTGTGAAATGCAGTGTAGTCAAGACTTTAGTTCAGCATGTGGCAGCTGCTGACAGCGCTTATTTCAGTTCATCCAAGTTAGCTGGTTTATTTTAGGGAACCAGTATCATTTGGTATCAAAGTCATTTTCTTTCAGTTTTTGGACTTCCCAGTACAAAAAGTCAGCTGACATTCCAGTTGTCTGTTCACCACAATCTTGCTTTCGTTGCACATGGATGATCGGGGTTATTCTGTGATTTCGGTTCAGGTCATCTGGAGTTTAATATTACATATTTAATTTGTCCTTTTGAGTCTTTGCGCTTTTCTGTCTTGGCAGTTTCCAAGCCCTCCAGTGAATTTGGCTGGATTTACAAACCCCTCAGGTTTATTCTTTCCAACTCTTTCCCCCAACTGATGTCACAACACAGTTAATCAGATCAAAGCGGCAGAGAAAGGGGTTACATGTCACACGCTTTTATTGCTTTTCCATTACATCTCTAACACTGAAATAGTCATCTGTGAAGATGTCTCACAATAAAATGTCTCATGGTGACATTGGTCCAAAGTGTTATTTTCAAAATAAAGGCTCCTTTTTAGCCTATCCTATTTTATTATATATTTACTCTTTGCTAATATAAATACAGTTATATATAATATTAGAGTTAGGGTGTTGCATAAATCCTATAAACATAAGTACACAACATTTAGGGCAAATCACATTGTTTAAATTATTTGTTATTTAAAACGAGGTGACTCACAATTCAAAGTTTCCTCACAAATATATTTCCATGCAGTGTAATCCCACTGTGGCCTTAACTGTGAGGGTATTGTGGCAATGATGCCTGCTGGAGGTTTAGGTCCTGGCGAGGCAGCAAGGCTGACTATTCAGCCTTCACACACAAACTGAGGGGAAACGATATATCCTGAAAAGGGAGCAATCATTAATCATTCATATAATTTTCAATATAGTCCACCTGCAGCCACAGGAAGAACCTTGGGAAAGCTCATTGGAGTCACCCTTGAGCGCTTTGTTAATCTGGGTTTCTTTTGAGCTATTTTTTATTTTTACAAAAAAGGAATCGTCTCTTTTATCCCTTTTGTTTCCGCTGATCTGCTCAGACGTGCGTTGACATCATGTTCTATTCAGATCTCTACACAGACGTTTGCATTGTATATTTTCTCTTTAGTTACTCTTTGCATCCTCTTTCATTTTGTCCCCTCCAAGCTACTCCTTCAATATTTTCAGGTCAGACTTTGTTTTGGTTTTTTGCTTGCTCTCTTCATAATCTCATCCCTCTAAAAAGTCTGTTTCCTCAGTCTTTTAAAATGCTACTTGCAGAATTAATTCCAAGAATATTCACGGTATTTATTCTGGATTAGCTGCCACAACTGCTATGTGAGAGATTTCTTTCATCAACCTCCAAAAGTGAGGCGCTGATGAGCTCTCATTCTTCTGGGGACACTGATCTGCTCAAAAAAAAGTCTCTGAATTTTGAAAAGCAGTGACCAAATCAAAGCAGGAACACAGCACGTCATGATGTATAATTTTATTTTCAGTTTTGCTTGTTGACCTTCATCCAGCAGCATGTATTATTAAGCTGCAAGCTGTTTTAATTTATAGTCCCATGTATTTAATCAATCACCAGTTTGATATGTCTGATTAACAGAGGTGGAAAGAGTACTCAAAATTTGTACTCAAGTACAAGTACTGTTACACTGGTTAAATTGTACTCAATTACAAGTAAAAGTACTGGTGTTAAAAAAAAATACTTGAGTAAAAGTACAAAGTACTGTTCTAAAAAACTACTCAGAGTATTAATTACTTTTTAACAGACTGATGTTTTATTCTGTTGTCAATAGCAGGCATTCAACTCGATTCACCAGTATAAATATTTATATTCAAAGCACATTTTTCAGATGAACAAGGTATAGAAAGGTAACTTGTTTTGTAAATAAATGTAGATATAAAAGGAGGAATTTTGTTTGTTAAAACAATGACAAAAATGTTTCTGAACATGCGTAGAACCATTTAAACTTTTCCCCATACACTGAACAACAGGCAGGTAAGTGTCTTAAAGTCTTAGCATTTCCTTCACACTTTACTTTCTGAACCTTTTGTTCAGTTTCAGCAAGAGCTGGTTTTCTAAATTAACAGAGGCAATCCGACTTCGTTTGGCAGTGAAGAGTAGACCAGCACAGCTAAAAAGTCGTTCACACGCAGCAGAAGCAGGCAGAGCTGTGTTCAGTTTAAGAGAGAGGTTTTTGATGGCTGAGAAGGAGTGCAGCAGCTCCATGGTGTCTGTGGCACAAGCAAGATAACCATCAAGCTCAACTGCACTTTGCAGCCTTCTGGAGATTGGTCTGGAGAAGAATTCATCTTCATCAGATGACTCTCTTTGCTGATCCTCACTCTCATGCTCTGTCGTTTCAAGATGTTGTTTGATGTATGTCAAGGCTGTAATTGCAAGTAGATAACACAATTTTGTTATTTAAATTTCAGTGATTATTCCTGAACACAAATTTAAAATCGGCAAATTCTCAAAAAGGATTGTTTAGTATTCAGGACAGACCATCAATAAACTGATCCGTAAGGCCAGCAATGTTGTGGGGATGGAGCTGGACTCCCTCAAGGTGGTGTCGGAGAGGCGGATGCTGTCCAAGCTAAAGACAATGTTGGATAACACCTCCCACCCACTCCATGACATGTTGGTCAGTCACAGGAGCTCGTTCAGTGAGAGACTGAGATTACCGAAAAGCACCACTGAACGACACAGGAAATCATTCCTGCCTGTGGCCATCTCCCTGTACAACGCATCCACTTAACACACTGTTTGCTGCTACAACTACACATGTTTCTTTTCCAAATATTTATTTATAAGTGACTTATGTATGTATGTATGTATATATATGTATATATTGTACTATTCTTAGTTAGCGTATTGTCTGTCTTGTCTTAATGTTGGTTTAAAATGGAGCACTGTAACAAAAAATAATTTCCCCCAGGGATCAATAAAGTATTCTGATTCTGATGATTCTGATTCTGATTAGGTGAAATACTCACTTAAGCATGTGTTCAAATGTAAAAATACACAAAAATGGGATCACATGAATCCTTACCAGCCTCTGTTACATCTGCTCTGTCAGTCCAGGAAGTCTTGAACTTGGGTAAGAGGACTGCAGCTGCAGCCAACTCTGGATCCTCCATCATCGCTCCAAAATGCTTTTGAAGGCCATTTTGCAGGGCTCTGATGAGTGGCACGCATGTCTTGCTTGATGTCTCCAGCCTGCTAAGTTTGGACAGTAGTTGTTGGATTACTGGCAGGAGCCATCCCATAAAGGAAGTGGACTCAGACTGAAGGATGTTTGAAGCTTTCACCAGTGGCTTCATGGTGGTACAGTACTCCCTTAGGAATGCAACTTCTGCAGGACTCAACCTGTAAGACACAACAACAAAACCCACCATGACTATAATAGGGATCTTCTGATTTAATATTAAGAGTCTGCTCACGTTTTTAACCATCCATTAAGGAAAATTCACAAAATTTGAAACCATATTGGTAGGTGTCCAATTTTACTCACATTTTCACCTTGAACTCCTCACAAATGCTCCTGATGGCATCTTCCCCCTTCTCATCAATGATGCGTATTATCCTTTCAATGGCAAGGTAGGTTGAATTCCATCGTGTTGCATTGGGACGAATGATCTGTAGCTCACACTTGTCCTCTACCACTTCATTAGCCAAATGAGATCGGCCAGTTTTGTTCCAAATGGCCTGGCATTTTGCAAAGGTTGCACGGGAGAGCCTCTTGTAGGTTTCATTCATGCTCTCTGCTAGGGCAGCATCAGTTGTTGCCACAAGGTTTAGCAGGTGACATGCACATCGCTGATGAGGCGGAAGTTGATACTCCAAACCAGAGTCTTCATCAAGAATTGCACTTGCCTCATGGTAGTCCCTATGGTCAGTCAGGTCAATAATTTCTGGGTCTGCTTCATCTTCAGCTTCATCTGCATCATTTTGTGCCCCAAACATGTGGAAGGCCTTGACAAAGTTGGATCCACTATCAGTTGTGGTTCTTACAACTTTGCCTCTAATCTTGTATTGGCAATGGATATCATCAAGCGCACCAGCAAGCATGTCAAATGTGTGAGACCCTCTCAATCTTTTGCATGCTAGTGCTGCAGATCTTCTTTCCAGGGACGCTTCCTCTATCCAATGGCATGTGACTCCAAGGTAACTTTTCTGATGAGCTGACCAACAATCAGTAGTGGTAGCAACAAATTTGACTTTATCCAATGCTGCAACCAAAGTCATCTTCATGTGATCAGCAGCTTCACAGATTCTGGCACGGACAGTGGGTCTGGAGATGACTTTGGCTTGAGGTTGTAATGTGGTAACCAATTCTTTGAAAGATGGCTGTTCTACCACTGCAAATGGCTGTAGACCCTCACATATGAAATTGATGACAAGCTTGTCAACAGTTGCTTGTGGAACATGTTTGTTTGCAGCTCTCAACATCAGGTCTGGTAACTTGGCTTGTGTATTTGCTGAGAGCTTGTTTGGTGTGGCTGTGGTCTTTCGCTGTCGAGATGTTGATGCCACAGTGATATTGTACTGCTCAGTCTTCGATGGATGTTTCCTCTGTAGAGATAAATATTATCATACGTCAGGTTCATACATTACTTCATAACATCACTGTGATTAACACTAAAAGAAAACACATTTTTAAAACATTATTCAACTAGACTTGAGCTAATCTTTGATTGTTGAGCATAGTATAAAAGAGTGGTGAATTGGTCAAATTTTGCAGATATATTGCTGTATTTATTCACAAGTGTAAACCAATTTTGAACGATCATTGCAAAAAACATGAATTTCTGTATACATTCTAAGTTCTGTAATATGTATACTATCTGTAAAAAGAGTATCGACCAATGTATCAGTATCTAAATTTTTAACTCCTTTTTATCAGTATCACCCTAAAGTTTTCAGTATTAGTCAGGTCCTAAAAATACTAAGAGAGCAAAATATGTGTATCTAGCAAATCTAATTTAAGAAAAGGGATCACATACACAAAAATGCTGCCCATACAGCTAACAAATAAAACCAATCCACATTATGTTCTTTAAAAAAAGATATCATATTGGGAAACATATAACCCTACTGATTAAGAGCCATGTCACTATGATAGACCTATATCAGGCCAATGATACTGATCAACTGATCCATCAATCGGGCTCTGGTACATGTCAGCTGAGAGCTGGAAGATTAATTTGAGATGCAGCTCAGCATTGTGTTCAAGTTTGTTTTTTTGTTTGTTTGTTTTTTTAAATAGGCCAGCTGATTGTAGGCCTGTGAGTTTTAAATGACTACAAGTTTAATTTATTGTAATGACGGTGGTTGTCCAAATAATAAGCTAAAACATTCCTACGAATTGTAGCTCAATTATGCATGCACACACGAACATTAGCTAGCTCAGTCTTATTTTAATATCAGGCTAACCAATGGCGGTGACAATATCTTAGCCAAACTAGTAACCTTAACACACATGAAAAATAAGAAAGCAATATCATACACGTATAGTTGTAAAACCTCTTACCTCAATGTGTTTTTTTTAGATTAGATGCTGAAGTCTTGTAAGCTGAAATGACTGTAGAGGTCAAACAAAGTTTGCACTGCATCTGGACGCTGTCTCCTTTTCTTCCTCTGTACACGAAAAATTCCTCCAGGTATGGCCACGGGCACGCGTCCTCCGTCTTTTCTACGTCGTTTTCATGGTTGACAGTGTTGTCCTCTGTCTCCATTTTGGCTTCTTTGTCTCCAAATCTTTCGTCTATAAAGTAGTTTATACTCCACCATTTAGCACCTCCAGACACCTGTGCCTGCTGCTGCAGCGGAGTTTATTCTTTGCTTACGTCTTAAATTGGCGCGGTTGCGATTGCACGGCCTTATTGGCTGCAAAAATGCAGACGAAAGGTTTGAATATTAATTCAAATTGTGGGCGTACTCAGTAGTGACTTTTGATTTTATAAGTAGCGAAGTAGATTACATGGTGTAAGTTGTACTCAAGTATGAGTAAAATTACACACTTGAAAAATTACTCGTAAAAGTACAAGTACCCAAAAAATGTACTTAATTACAGTAACGTGAGTATTTGTAATTCGTTACTTCCACCCCTGCTGATTAAGAGACCATTCAGTTAAAATGAAGAATAAAAAAAATGCCAGAAAGCTGTATTAGGTTTCTATCATCCCTGTAATTGCAACCCTGGTAAATGTTTCTTAGCTGACTTGCATTTATCGGCACAAGTTTAGATTGCAAGAGTTGCTTCATTCCAAGTCTGTCGGGAAGGCTTTCATCTCCCAGTTCACATTATCCAGAAGACGATGGAGTTATATTAATTTATCCATTTGCTCAACTACACTAATGAGTAGCGAAAAATCGTATAGTTTCAGCTTCGTATTTAGTCTCTCTTCTTTTGTTACAGATTCTATTTTGGGGCATGATACGGTTAAAAAGATGAGACAGTCGATACAATTTCTGGTTTAAAAGCCAATGTTGACTTTGACTTGTTCTGTCTGATTGCTAAATAATACAAACATGCTGCCGTGGTGTCAGTGCAAAAAATATTTGCACTCAGCGAAGTGCCAGAAGTCACAATTTGTTTGTAACTGAAAACCTCTGACTAACCACTGGCCACACCACCTTGCACTGCAAACACACTGAGCAGGCATGAAGCAGTAAACAGCGTGCTGGGCAGGAAGATAACATTTGTCAAAGTCAAATATGTCTGTCTGGCAGTTTTAAGATGTTTTTTATAGCCACACCAGATTACTGAAACTAAAGTCAATCTCCCATGTTAAAACTTGGATCACTTTGCATTTGTGTTTGTGTGTGAGAGAGCGTATCTGCACTAGTGGTGTAATTTTCGCACTGGACTGAGCGTTAAACCCATCGTCATTCTGCTAATTTTGTCTGCAGCAAAACTAAATACAGGCAGATTGTGCAATTCAATGTGTCTGTTTGAACAAATAACATAATGAGAGAACAAAGCTCTGTAAAAAATAGTTGTTTCAGTCAGTGATTCATTATTTTTCATGTTGTCCTCAGTATATATCAAGTCATATCCTCTTCATTTATTGGGCACTATGTAATGACCCCCACTAAAAAGGTTTAATCTATGCATTATACACACACTTCTCACCTCACATTCTTCTAAATGGCAGTTTGTGTGTGTGGGGGGGGGGAAGCATATGCATGGTTTTTGTGTGTACACACCGTTTACACATCCAGGCCCTGGTCTTGAGGAGAGCACTCTGCATGCCTTATTTCCTCTACGAGCTATTTTTGTCAGACATGAATCACAGGTACAGCTGTTAAAGCAAAGGCCTTCTCCCTACACGCCCAACCGCCCAACCGCACACACACACACACACACACACACACACACACACACACACACACACACACACACACACACACACACACACACACACACAGCTACTTACACTGTAGAAAATGGAGGAGACTTTGGTTAATATGGCGAAACAGAAAGTAAGTACACTCTATCTGAACTACTTGATTAACGGCCGACATGAGAGGAGGAAGCAGCGGAGCAGAAAACAAAATAGTGGTGCATGAGTGAGTGGCAACTGGAGGAACAAAAAAACAAGGAAATGAATGGGGGGAGAAGGTGCAGGAGCTACATGAGTGAAAGTAGAGAGTAAGAGATATAAGGCACAGAATAGGGCACAGAACCAAGAGTGATTGGAGAGAGGATATGGCGGAGTTAGAGAGGGATGTGTGCATTAAAGAGCTGGATATTGAACGTGGACTCTGAGTGGCCCTACTGTTTGTGGACGTCTCTCCCCTTGGTCTCACACACACACACACACATGAACACACACATAGAGTCTCCACGGTCAGGCCAAGTCCAACGGTGGCTAAGGTTGCTATGGCAACATTCCACAGGAACGGTAATTACAATTAACATCCCATCTAAATGACCACCTCTCTCTCTTCACCCCCTTCCATCTCTGGGGTAATTATAGACTTCAGCTCAGCTCACCCGAGCACCCTGGTTGGCCTCTTTTTATTTTACTGCTAAATAACCCTGTCGGGAAACAATAGAGGCAAAAAGAATTATTTTATTCAAGGCTAAAAGGCCGGTCCATTACAATAATGTAGCAATGTTATCGCAGCATTGCAATCAATATGCGCTGCACATTTGTGCAGTGAACTGGTCAGGAGAACAACTTTTCCATTCATGCAGCAGCACATGACTGCTGAGAGCATGTTTAGAACTTTCATTACGTAAATATTAGCTGAAGTGTACTCTATCTGCACACTGAATCAGCTGTCAAAGTGCTCAGTTACGAAGGTGTGTGGCGCCGCTGCCTCTTATCTCTGTATCGTGGGACAGAGAAAGAGAACACGTGAAGAAGGAAGGCTATAAGTGCTGGGAAAGCACAGAAAGCAATAGACTCTCGCTAGGCTGAAAGGGAGCGTTGTCAAATAGCACTTTGTCATGGTGTCACAGCCCATGCAGAGAGAGACGGAGACAGAAGGAGTGAAACTGTGTTAGAAACGAGGGAAGGGAAACACAGCAGAGCAGTAAAAGAAATCGCTCCTTTATGGCTCACTTGTGTTGCAATTTCAAAGAATTTAGAGAATTAAATGAAAGCAAATTGGTGCGTTTACAATGTGGGTAACACTTTGTAGTTTATTGTTTAATTCACATCACCAAAATGAATCAAATAAAGGCAATCAAGCTGATTCGAGAGTAATCAAAGAGTTATTTTTTTATGTTTAAAATGATTACAGAAAACACATTTGAAATTTAAAAAATCAAGTCATTCTTCAAAAATCTAATTCCAAAGCAATAGCGCAGCAACTAAAACACAACGAGGGATTGGAAAATTCAAATAAAAAAATATTGGTTAAGAAATCACAAATCTTAAATAATTACAACCCATTTTAAGTCCATTAATTGGGCAAACTGAGCAAAGAACAGCAAACCATCAACAACAACAACAGCTGAATCTACATGTATCTCTGGTCTGTTGATCCTTGTGCATTTACATTCTGGTCCCAGATGACACAAGGAAATCAGATTGTCACGCTTCCCAGTCCCATTGGGAATATGTAATTGCTCCACTTTTTCAAAAAGTCATGCAGCAGCGATGCACATCCACCTCCAGAGACTTTTGCAAGGATGGAATTTTGATTTCAAATTCAAGCAGTAAAACATCAAGCAGCACATACTAAACGCATAAACGGTGCAGAGAAACAAATGCTGAAGGTGTAAATGGACATGAATGAGCATGCCTTTGAATGTGAACATGCATATAGATATTGCTTAATAAAATAAATAGCGGATGGGTTAATATGTCTGGGCGAGTGATGACAGAAATGTATATGGAGGATTAGGACTATCTTTCATTAGGGTAATGACATGGCAGACAAAAGGAATGAAAATAAAAGGTCTGAGTGAGGACAAAGGTGTCAAAGAAAGAGCAGGATGAGGGCTCAGAAAATAGGATATAAAATGGGGAAGTGCAAAGAAGAAGGAAGGACAAATGAAGTCACTCTAATCTCTCTAATCCGTCTCTGGACACTCTTCTTAATTGTGTCCACTTTACCTGAAGGAATCAGGTGTCTGGGAAACAGAAAAAGTGCTATCCTGTCCACACTTCCACCCCACCCTCCACCAGCAAGTCTCTGGATCATTATTTCATCCCACAGCCACAGCACCCCAGATGGTCAAATCATCTCAACAATAGATTGTTGTGTTATTCCTGCCCAGTCCAGTGAGTTTGATCATTGCTAAATCCCCAATCCCTTCATCTTTCCATCCCTGGGCACCTGAGAGAGAAATGCAACAGGAAGGGAAGACTCTGGAGGAATACAAACTAAATGGATGTCTATCGGCACAACAATAATTTTCACTGAATGTTATACTAGGTTTTGCAAAATGGTGCAACAGGGCATTCTTCTAACTAGCTAGCCTGTCTACTTGATTTCCATCATAAAAGACAATAAAGCAAAAAATATGAAATATGAAATGAAATATTTTTTTTTTTACCATCCTTTTGTGCACAGACAAAAAAAAGAAAGTGGTACAGCATCTACACCTCAACCTCAGCTACTGAGGTCACCCAATCAGAACAGAAATGACAGATATTTGAAATATGTCGCACTGCCATAATCCTAACTGCAAACTAATGGATTGATGGGCATGCACACACATGCTAC